TATACTTGGCTTCTTGCTTTAAATTTGTCTCTTCAAAATAGACTTTTATAGAATTATTACTTGACTCTTCTGATTCCTAGGCATTTTTATTTCCTCTTGTGTTCATCTGACATAATTTGGTTCTTTCTAATTTAAATAATCATCACTGATGAGGTAGGAACTCAGTACACGAGAACTCATTCACTCATTCATTCAATTTTCCAGATCTATGGAAAGCTTGCTATATTAAGTTTGTGGACAGATGCTCACTTTATTAGAGTTGTTTCTGGTTCATTACTTAGCAAGCCATACTTTTAGAGGACAGTTGGTAGTTCCTTTAAAGGCATTGCCTTTAAAGAAGGTATCACTGACACCATAATTTTCTCTTCATTCTAACCCGAGCTGTTCTCACTTTTTCCAGTCAGTAACAGGCCTTCCCTTATTTATGATAATGAACTATCCAGACGAAGAATATACCTGAGATTGGTACATATATAAGTTGTAATTAGTGTTGCTTTTGTTTCCTTTGAAAAAGTTTTTTCTTAAAAATCAGTAATATAAATGGATTGGTGAGAACAAGCAAGATGTAAAAAGCAGTTGACAAAAAGAAAAGTGCAAATTCAAAGCATATAGAAATGCTCAGCCTCACCAGTAACAAACTTTAAGTGAAAACAAACTATAATTTACTGCACTCAAGCAAATGAAATACAAGATAATACTTAATGCTTGTGACTATACATTGAAAGTAGCACTCATGTATCACAATTGGTATGTAGATGGTTACATTTTTCTTTTTGGAAGAAATTTGTCAATATTCACCAAAAGTGGAATACTGACATGCATTGTAGCAAAAATGACAGCAATGAAAATGGACTATTTTGCAGCTATTTCAATGAAGGTTTTAAAAGAACTTTGTAACAACATTAAGTATTCTTTTAGTATAATAGTATCTCATAAAAGCATAATGCAACTTGATCACAGATTTGAAAACTATGACCTATACATAGACATAAATGCTAGAAGAAAATACACTAAAATATTAATAGAAGTTAAGTTTGGGGTGGGATATTATCAATTTTCAAGTTTCTTTAAATATCAAATGAAAGTAAATACAACTTAGTACTTGCTTTATTACCACTTTCAATATCAAATGTCTCAATTGCAAAATTTTAAAAATTAAGTGCTCTAAGGATTTTGGAAGACAATGCTTCTATTCCTTTTAAGAAATGATTGCTTAAGTTAAGAATCTCCGTTTCTCAAACTATTTCTATCACTCAAGCTGTGCAAACTCTTTGTGTGTATGAGAGAATCTCTCTCATACACACACAGATTCTCTCATACACACACACACACACACACACACACACACACATCAGGGAACTTTCAATTTATGGAAGAAATAAAAAGGTACAAGAAATGTTTCCCTCTGCATCAAATTTGAGAAGTGTTTAGTCCCAAGGTGTAAACAGTAACATGGTAAATGTACCAATAGAGAAGAGGACTAAATTCATATAAATAGTTTGCTTCTTTGAGTGAGGGACTTGTAAGTTTAAAGAACCTTAATGACCTGGCTCACAAAGAATATGTTTTCAAATGCAGATCACTCTCATATCCTGTGTGTGCCTGAATGCTCCATGCCTGTCACCCTGCTCAGTTGCATATAGATAGCTTATGTGAAGAATCATGACATTTTGACAGAGAAAAAAAAATCTTTCTAAACTGAAAAGCACTTTCTTTAAAATGCTTTGAAGGTAGTCTTTTAAAAAAGTATGTTTGTATTAAACCTTTTTTGTCTGACTTGAATGTTCCTTACCAATCAGTTCTTAAAGCCCTACCCCTTTGATATGCAGTGAGGTAATGTTCTTTACTCATGTAATTTTTTGCATTCGATTGAAAATATCAGTCTATTTGAGCATTCAATTCTGAAGCTACTCACTATTTTATTTTTTGGCTTTTCCAGTCTCCAAGGTGACTGTTGAATCATAGTGGATGAATTTTCCATTTCTAGTTGATAATACTTAACCAAATTTCCCAAATATTCTTCTCCTCCCCCTTCAGGTTAGTGACTGGAAACGTGGGCCAGAGCCTGCACGCAGGACATTTTGCTGATAAAAGTGAAAAGCTGTCACAAGTATGCCTACATTTCCCTTTAGATTTCAGAGTCATAGAATTTGATACCAGAGCTGTTGACGTCTCTCTGGAAAACTACATTTCAGATCATCATGCTTTTTGATAAACTGTTATAAGTGGTGATGAAGTCTTTTTCATGGGCTAGCTCTGGAATCCTTGCTACCCCAACCTTCATAGTTAATAAAAACACAAAGGATGAAGAGAGGAAATAATACTGACTGCAATGTACATTGCATGGGTATGTCTAGGTAATAGGACTATGACTGATTTTAATTTATTTTACATCTCAAACATCTTCCATAATGAATGTATGTTACTTTCTAGTTAGGAGTAGGCAACTTTTGGTATGCACCACTGTATATATGTGTATATATAAATGTAAATATAAAGTATAAATAAAAAGACAGGAACTAGACTAAACCAGTAGCACTGGTTCTACCTCCTCAGTTCTTTAAATAGGAACTTTTTCTTTTGTCAGATTCATCATCCAATTAATTTTCTATGATATTTCTTTAAAAGAAATCTCCCATTTGTTTCTTGTTCAAAACACTTCCATGACTACCAGGGACACTATTCATGGAGAAATGCCAACCCTTTTTTTTTTGTCTGTTCACATATAGGCCTTTTTACATTTTTTTTATTGCTGTGCTAGGAGGGGGTATGTTGTGGCATTTACAGGAGTTCTTACAATATATGCAATATATACTATTTGAATTCACCCTTTCCATCATTCTCCTTTACCTTCACCCCCCCTTTCCTGAAAATATTTTCAACAAGTATCATTTTTTTATTCCCATACACATGTACACAGTTATCTGCACTGTATTTACCTTCCCACAAACTTTCCCCACTTCCTACCCCCTTCCACTGGCACCAACCCTCCCTCCCCTACACAGAACCTGTACTGCCCAAGTTCTCTGATTTTGCAAAAGAAAAAAAATGACATTTTGTTTGTTTAAGATAGCCATATAGGGAATTTCCTTGAGCTATTTCCATGTATATATGTATTGTAAACTGAATTGGTTCATCTCCTCTATTTTTCTCTTTCTTAGTCCCCTTAAACAGGTTAAAAATTGTAAGTTCATTCTTGTATAGAGAATACATCAACCATATTCACCTTCTTAACTTCCTTCTTTTACCCTCCCCCTTTCATATGTGACCTCCCTTTAACATGATCTGTTTTTCATGATATTGCTGTGTTTGTATTTGTATTCCACATATGAGAGAGAACATGTGGCTTTTGGGAAGACCAACCTTTTTAAGGCACATGGAGTCTTTTTGACATGGTTCCTACTTATTTTCCTATCTTGTACCCTTCATGTAGTGCCATGCTCAGATTTTTAAATATATAAATCATATGTGATTGCATCCCTTTGTGCTGTTGCTCATGTAATTTTTTTTTAAAAAGCATTTTTTTTCTCATTCCATCTACCTTCAATTGCATCCTTCAAGATACAGAACAACACGATCCCTTTCTCATTTTAAGGATGAGTTACTGGACATGAACAAGGAACTACATTTTCCCTTATTTCTTTTTTCTTTTATTCATTTACTTTCCTATTGCATTTGATATCTTTCCATAGCATTGGTGGTTTATTACTTATATTCACTTGTATGAAACTGTTTTGTTCAACTTTTTGCCACCAGGAGCCATGAAGTATTTTAACCTTAGAGAATGTTTATACATTAGTATGTTAAATAAGACAGAAAATTTAGCTTCAACTTTATTCTGTTTTATTTATTAATTTTTAAAACACCCATCTTCTCCATTTATTCCAGCACTGGTTCTGTCAGTGAAATTTACAATCCCTATGTCATTCTATAACTTCTTTCCATTATGGAAAACTCTAGGAATGAGTTTTAATTTCTTTTATTTCTTGGACTCCTTTGCAAGAATCTCAGAGGACAATGCTGCAGAACTTTCTTTTCTACATCGATACAGATTTCACCAGCCAATGAGACCCTTTGCCTACCTTACTAAATATGTGATTGAGGATGAAGTGAACCAGTTTTACTTTAGTTGAAACATGAATGCTCAAGTTTTAATATTTCACACATAGTATATTACCAACTAAAAACTCTTGATTTGGGAATAGAACTTATATTAAAATCAATGTTTGTTTTTTGTTTCATGTACTTTTTTTTTTACAAATTTAAGAGACTTGAGAGGAGTATAGTTGGTTGCTTTTTTACCAGTTGTGTTTTGCTTGGTATTAGTTATATCTTTAGTATTTGGAGGACTGACCAATGAAATAGTAAGAATATAATATACTACTCTAATTGGCACCCAAAACAATGAAAAGAGGTTTACTGCAGATTTGTGGGAAAAAGCTTGGTCTGTGTTCTTTTTACTGTATGTGGTTTCCATTATCTTTTTCAATCAGAAAGTGGCTTAGGTTACCTTGGAAAACCAAAACCACTTTTGAGCAAATTAGGCAACACATATTACATAAGTAAAAGCCTTTTGATTTTTATTGTTATTAGAAAATTGCTACTCTTTAGGGTAAATGGTATTCCGAAGGCTGTCCACAGTTTTTGGGTCTTTCTATTCATCTGCACACACAATTCCTTTGATAGATGGCTGACTTTCTGCAACACTAGCATTATTTCAGCAGAGGAAGGTAGTATTTGATGTGTTGCAATTTGTATGACATGTCCAAGGAACATCTTTGGATATCACCTTGGGAGGAGGGGTTAAGAGAAGGAGGAGCTGTGACTGAGGATATTTAATGGCAGAATGAATGGAAAGCCAAAGTTCACTGTGCAGTCAGTTTTAGACCTTGACTGCACCACCTCCACCCAGCTTTCTTTCACATTAACTCAAAAATCTTACAACAAAAATATCATAAAATATATGTGATTTCATTTAATTTTAGTCACAATTCATCTTCAAAATGACAAGGATTTTGACAGCTTGCAAAGTGGTGAAGACACTGAAGACTGGTTTTGGCTTTGCCAATTTGACTGCGCAGCGACAATGGAAAATTTCCAGACCCAGTTTCAGGCTCCTTTCTGTCAAGGTAATATCCATGTTCCTTATTTCTGATAACATCACATGGGGCAGAGTTTAGTACTGAAGCAAAGGTACTTTTTACAAAGCAAATACAGATTTGAACTTAGTTCCAAAGTGCTAATTTTTAGTATTTGCTTTACCATAGAAACTTTTGATTTAGCAATGCTTATTTTTTTATCTTCTCTGAGTAAAATTATAGTAATTTTTACCTGACATATAGAATGGCCATGTGAACATGTAAAATGCAAGTGCTCTGCTAGAACAAAAATATTTTAAAAAGTTATCATAACTCTTATCTGTGCCTAGATTCTATTGCTAATGGTTTTGATCCCCTCAAAATTCAGTTGCTGATATCTATGTGAGCTACATCACAGTCCATAGTGTGTTATACTTCTATTCTGTGATGGTCAATTGAAAGATTTTTGTCTTTTGAAATATCATTTAAAAATTTAGAGTAAATTTTGATTTGTAAGTCTTCATGTAGACACTACTTCAGTATTTTTTCTTTCTCTCTTAGCCTTTCTTTTAGTAGGCAAAATTTATTATTTGAATTTGCAGATTGAGACATTGAGACAAATAGAAGCTGAAAATTCTGAATGTCCAAGTGCATTTATAACTGAAGGGGCAAGTCTAAGAAAGGAACATTAAATCATCCTTTTTCCCACCCCCACCATTGGACCATAAAATTCCTATAGACACCTCTGCGGGAGGTTCTTATAAGTTTAGGCAGACATTTGTTACCAGAGAAGGCTGAAATGACTCCATAAGAATTTTGCCAATGAAAATAATTTTTATTGAATGTAAAGTTTAATTAAACATAGTAGTTTTAAATATACTGTTTCTTTAGTAGTAAGAGCTATAAAACATGAAGTGGAAAAATCCCCCACAATATGCTGATATAGAAATGATTAGTATGGCTTTGAGTGCTCTGTTTATATTTTATATGCTCATTGAGTTGACCAAAAGTCTTCCAGGTGCTTCAATAGCTACTACTATTTAGTTTGCTCAAGTCAGGAGTTTTAGTCCTGACACCTGTAGGGCTAGGCAATGCTCATAGATTCTTGTAGCCTGCAGGGGTAAGAATGGGGAAAGAAATAGGAATAGAAGGAAACAGAGAGGGAAATTGAAAAAGACAGAGGGAGAGATAAGAAGTCAGTTCTCTAAGATCCAATAAGAGCTCTACATGACAACTGCTAAAACAACAACTACATGTTCTAAAATGTGGATGGACTACAGAGTGAAGGCAAAGAGGAAGAGGAGGAGGAGGGGAGAGAGAGAGAGAGAAAGAGAGAGAGAGAGAGAGAGAAACCTTCCTTATTGAGAAGTCTCTACTCAGAGTATAAAAAACTACCATTCTAAATCAAGAAAACCATTTTCTTGGATTCAGCTTAATTATAATAAGAAAACAAACAAAGAGGATATTCTAAACTATCATCAAAGCTATAGGAACTAGATATAAACAATGAGAGTGAATATTTGGCTTTAGTTTAGAATTAGTGATTTCTCAAGGGTACTTGTGTATCACCTCAGAGAGAAGAAATAGTAATGAAAGCAATATCATCTATTGTTACAGGTGTCTTTTACAAGTTCAAAGTTGGGTCATTTAGAATATGTATTTCTTCTCACAGAAGTAGGTAGGTAAGGATGAGACTCCATTAGAAGCCAGAAACAGAGAAATTAAGTGACTACTTAAAATGGCAGATGTGACTAATATTCGTTAGTCTCCACAGATCCACCAAGTGCTCAATTGCCAGAGCCTCAGACGCAGCAAAACGATCTAATTATGTGAATGGACTTCTGTGAAAGCAGTTCTTCTAGTTCATGGTGGCAGATCTATTTCAAGGGTCTGCCATATTGCAAAGCTAGAAAGACAAATTTGAAGGAGGAAAAAGCCATCATTTCATGGTGTAAAAGCCATTACTCATGCTCAGTCATTACTGGTCACAGTTTTGGAGGAGTGCGAGTCAGGAAAAATAGAAGTTCTTGAACTTTAAGATAGTGAATTAAAATCCTATGCACAGTCTGAGGGGACCTGTGTTATTATTCACTTATTTTGAAATAGTTCTGCACCTGTGTTTTTTCCCACCTTCCCTTTGAAAACTCAACTCTCAAAGAGATATCCAAATTTATTCTTTTTATACGGGCATTATATTTTAGAGATGCTTAAAATCATTAGGATATCGTTATGTAATTGTCAGTGAAGGCACTGAGAACAGTCACTACCAGTTAGTAGCATTACAGCTACTTATAGATAGAAAATTAATTGTGAAAGAGACCCTGTGGCCAATCTGTAAGCTTTGCCCTGTAAGCCAGGTTGCTTTTTCAATGACTTTGGAGGTCACTTTTCCCCTCTCCTTGGCAACACAGAGAGGGTGGGTTTGACGACAGCAGTGACGCACTTGTATTTTTCTTTGTCCCTTCCTTGCATATTTGCTTGTGGCTAATATTTATAGAGTGTGCCTTTACACTAGACAAAACTGTATTTAACTTAGGGAAGAGGAAAGAATTTCAAGGTTCTCTGTGTTTTAAAGAAAATTGGTATCAAGGGTAAAAATGATCAACAACCATAAAAAATGAAAGTTTTAAAGACTATAATATTTTTCTGTTAGTACTGAAAATGCCCAGTGTTCATTATTATATTCAGCCAGTTGTAACATTATAGTAGAAATATACTGTGGATGGAGAATAAAAAGATATAGATTCTCACCTCTGTTATATATTTCCTAGTGCTCTGACCTTGGTAACCCACATATTTTCTAAACCTAAATTTTGTCACCTGTAGTGTGGAAACAATTCTTGATTTACACAAAGGATTGTGTGGTTATCATGTAAGATGAAGGCTTAAAAACCTATAAAACACTTTAAAAAGTGGATACTTAAATATTTCTCTTCTATCCATTTTAGTAGAAGGACTCAATAGAGGGTTGATTCAGAATTTCTTCATATTTTTCATGGACTACAAATTATTATAATGGCAGGATATGTGATAAGAATTCTCATATATTTACAATGATTCTTTAACCTTTGCTTTAATATTAATCCTATCTCTAAGAAAATATTTCCTATAATGAATCAGACTCAAAGCCCATAATGCAAATAGTCTTTTTTTCAGTATGGATAATTGAAGTCTAAAAGCCAGGATGTACACAAAAATGTCTTATTTCATTCATTCACTCATTCATTCAGTATTTAACAAATAAATGTTTCATGGTAGAATATGGAAAGAATAATAAGCAAAGTAAGTTTATAATAAGTACACTGATTCTGACATCAAGAAACTTGCAAATTTAAAAATTCTCATTTCACAAGTTTTGGAAAGTCACAAAGACTAAATAGTTTTATTTTTTTTACCTTAAATGAATTTGGAAATCAAAGGTATTAAATTGAAAGTTTAATTTCCCCATGAATAGCAAAAAGTTTGGTAAGTCCTGCTTCTAATATTAATCCATTCACTTTTAGAAATGGTGACCCATGTTATAGTTAAGGTAGGAACCAATGGTCCAAGTGTCCTCTGGTGCTTTGGATGTGAAAGAGGTCTAGGAGTCATTATTCCCTTTGAAAGCTTTTCATTTTGTAAGATTTTATATTCTGATTCCAACACAGAAGTGTCATTTAGCTCAATCTGAAAGAGCTATTGTCATTTGATTAGATTGGCAACTACAAAAACTCCCACAATTAGAATAATTTAGTCATCATATAGTGGCTTTAAAAGTTCATTCATAGAAAACAGAATTCATTATTATTTTAGAGCCTGTTTGTAGGGTTGGGGATGGGGTAAGGTTATCACACACTTTGAAGAATAACTATTTTATTGGTATTTTGCTACATATACATATATATAGGGCTGGATTTCACTCGTGATAATCCAGATTTTTCAATGATAAATTGTTCCCGTCCCAAATGAAGTATTTCACAATTGGTTTGGATGAGAAACAACTTTACATGTCTTTGGTGCACACTTTTTTTGTAATTTGGGAGGTAGCCTCTTTTTCGTATATCTTTGTGTATGTTTCATATATTTTATGCCCTCCCCTATCTAAAAATACATCAGCAATACTTTGACATTTTGAGCTTCTTAATGCTAAACCCTAGAAAAAGTTGTAGAACAAATGACTTATTCTAGAGGAAGGTAAGTGAGATACCTAGTATGTAGAATTCACTGGAGGGTCATGGTGGGCCTGCTTCGGTGATGTGCCCCAGGCTCTTCACTCACCTTTCCTGAGTCAGAAGCTAAGAATTCTGGATGAGGAACTGTCTAAAGGTCTATTTGGTATTGAACCATGTTTCTCTTGCTTCTTCTTTGAGTTCCAATTTGCCCAGGCTTGAGCAGACTTTCTCACGGTCTAGAAGAGGAATGAGGTCTTATTGCTGTGGAGATGGAGACAATTCTTTGCCCATACATCTCCATTAGACTTTCTTCATATTTTGACTTCTTTCAAAGGTTGATGGGTATGGTAGAGAGTTTCAGCATCTCTTTTGCAATGCTCATGCTAGAACTCACTTCAGTTTGCTATGCACAACTGGAGCCTTAGAGGTGACCAGTATCTCCCAGGGTCTTCACAATGACAGCCTTGGAGAAGGCTCTGGCCCAGGGTCAATCTTAGTGGTGATTGCTCAGCCCAGAGAGTGCTTGCTTACAATCGATTTTCTTCATGTGGTCAAAATAAGTTCAATTCACTAATGTCCTTTCAAAGCTACTTCCTTTTCTTTTCAACTTATTAAATGGTGTACACTGATCTTTAAAATTCCATGAGGAGGTTATTGGCTCATGTGAAGTTCTCATAAATAAATCAATAGGGTTGTTACATAATTATAGAATTTTACTGAATAAGTTTCTTTCATGATGCTGAACTAAATATAAAGCCATATTATTTTATTAACATAAGGCAAAAAATGGTTTACAATATCTTAGATCCCTTCCAGATGCAGAACTAGTTTCCACATACTATTTTCTCAGTAAATACTTGTTCAGAAAACCTATACTTCCTGAATATATTTGTAATGAAA